TTAAATTTTAAAAATTTAAAATAGTACTATTTTTTTGCGATATTAAAGATTTCGGTGTTATACATGCAAAAAATAAAGTTTAGGTATTAGATATGTAAATACATAGACCTTGCATGGTTCGCATGTAAATGCCCCACCCACCTCAACCCACCCAAAAAATATATATATATGAAATAAGTACTATGAAATCATAACCTTTTCATTTCTCATAGAACAATAATTAAAATAATTGCAATGAAATTACATTCCAATTTTTAGATTATTTTCAACATAATCCAAAAAAAATAAAAAAAATGAAAACCAGTCTGGCTCAGGAACAAACAAAGAAATAAAATAATGTGGGAATTAAAGAAACAAAGCTCGGTGGAAAAACATGTCAGATACCACATAGGTGAGTAAAATGCTAATTAATAATCCAATCAAGCCAACAGAGACAATCGTTCTTTTGAGGCTACTTCTCCTTAGCATTTCCTGAAATAAAATGTTCATAATGAGAACGTAAGGAGCACAAAACAAATCCGAGTCATATATAACGATCGACATTTTCTATACATTGATTTAGGGAAATTTAATTTGGAAGATTTGCACACATGCCACTCAATTCTTATGTATTTACATATCTAACACCTAAATTTCAATTCTCTACATGCGTACCACCTGAGGGTGCTTACCTATAAATTAAAAGATGTATTTAGTTTTTTTGTATGAAATGAAATATTTGGGCTGCATAAATGTAAAAATAAAAAAAAATAGGTTATAGATATGTAAATACATAGAAACTAGGTTGTATGATTTCTACATCTACGAGCATTCAATAAGGATATTTACCTACAAATATTCTGATTAAGAGAATGTACATCAGAAAAAACTGATATTACAACAAAGATTGACAACTATGAGACAATCAACATGGTGATGCATACAAAGAAAAGGAAGATTTACATGCAAACCACTCAATTACTATGTATTTACATATCTAACACCCAATCTTTAATGTTTGCATGAAAATGAGTTTTTAAATTTTAAAAATTTAAAATAGTACTATTTTTTGCAATATTAAAGATTTCAGTGTTATACATGCAAAAAATAAAGTTTAGGTGTTAGATATGTAAATACATAGAAGTTGCATGGTTCCCATGTAAATGCCCCACCCACCTCAACCCATCCAAAAAATTATATGAAATAAGTACTATGAAAGTATAACCTTTTGATTTCTCATAAAACAATAATTAAAAAAAATTGCAATGGAATTACATTCCAATTTTTAGATTATTTTCAACTTAATCCAAAAAAATAAAAAAAAATGAAAACCTGTCTGGCTCAGGAACAAACAAATAAATAAAATAATGTAGGAATTAAAGAAACAAAGCTCGGTAGAAAAATATGTCAGATATCACATAAGTGAGTAAAATGCTAATTAATAATCCAATCAAGCCAACAAAGACAATCGTTCTTTTGAGGCTACTTCTCCTTGGCATTTCCTGAAATAAAATGTTCATAATGAGAACGTAAGGAGCACAAAACAAATCCGAGTCATATATAACGATCGACTTTTTCTATATATCGATTTAGGGAAATTTAATTTAGAAGATTTGCACAAATGCCACTCAATTCTTATGTATTTACATATCTAACACCTAAATTTCAATTCTCTACATACGTACCACCTGAGGGTGCTTACCTATAAATGAAAAGATGTATTTAGTTTTTTAGATGTTAAAATGATGGTATTTTTTGTATGAAATGAAATATTTGGGCGGCATAAATGTAAAAATAAAAAAAAATAGGTATTAGATATGTAAATACATAGAAACTAGGTTGTATTGTGCATAAGCCTCTAAAATTTAAATTTAAGAGGAATATGTGAGCAATTCATTTTTCCTATAAGAGTTATCTTTCTTAAGCAACGCAGGACAAGGAAAATAAGCAAAAGCTTTAGGCATGACATGTAAACCAAAAAATAACAAAATGAAATATTTATATACTCCACATTCAATTCTTATGTATTTACATATCTAACACCTAAACTTTCATTTTTTTACATGCAGACCACCTTATATATGTATATATCATACTTAAATAAACCCATCATAATCTTAACTCCTTATCTAATCCTAGCCTTTTCACAGAATGCAGAGCAAACTAATACTAGCAGTCTATAGAATTTGAAGAAGTAAATGAGCTCTATTAAAGCCAATATCAAAGAAGAAGGAAGATTTACATACATGCCACTAAATTCTTATGTATTGAAGTATCTAGACCTAAACTTTAATTTTTACATATATGTCGCCTTACTTGAGCATGAAAAAGATGAAATTCACTTTTTAGACAATAATATAGCAGTATTTTTATGTGACATGAAAGATTTGGATGGTATAAATATAAGAAAATAAAGTTCCGGAGTCAGATATGTAAATACATACGAATTAGGTGTTATGTATGTAAAAAACCCAAAGAGAAAACAATAACAACATACTATTTTCTGCTCCAAAAGCTTATTTTGTTGAAGAGTAGAAGCTAGTTTCTCTTGTAGGCGTTGCAATTCCTGGGTCAGCAAAAGTAAGTATGACTTCAGCAAAAGTAAGTTGGGCCTGCAAAAGTAAGTATGACTTCAAAATCAGTATGTTCTACAATATCTCATTCAAGTGTCACAATTCTAATATAAAAGGTATCACAATATGATAAGAAATCAGAATAGTAAACAACCACTTACACTTACCTTATGAGAGCCTACAGCAGCGTCACAAAATATTTTGATTATTACAACAGTTACACTAGCAAGCTACATTCAACTACGATAAATTACTAAACAAGAACACGTATGAATATTAAACTATTACAGATATGATATAGGGGCTGTAAGGTAATGGATTTATTTAACTTTAGCTCGTCATAAGGACAAAAAAATGACATTAAATGTAAAATTAGGAATTGGATGTTATGTATGTTAAAAAAATTTTTAAAGTTAAAAAGGTGATATTTTTGATGTGATAAGAAAGATTTAGATGATATAAATGTAAAAAGTGATGCTTAGGTGTTAGATATATAAATAAATAGGAATTGAGTGTTATGTGTGTAAATGCCCCTTAAAATTAACATTTAAAAAAAATTTGTGTGATTATAGTCCTTATTTGGGCAGCACTTTGGTGATATTACAAGCTAATATGATGAGTAGAATACTATAAATTTTACAAAGGGAAAAACAATAACTTTCATGGTTCATCAGTCCTCCAAAGTAAAAAAATTGAGGGATTAATTAAACATTCTTCACTATAATAAAATAAATCCTAATCAAACTGATTGACCAATTGCCTTTGCTTAACTTGCAATCCTTACTTGATACAAATGGCCAAGTCTTGAAGCTCAGGATTTATGTCCCTAAATCCTACTTAAATAAGCCTATCATAATCTTAGCTCCTCATCTAATCCCAACCTTTTCACAGAATGCAGAACAAACAAATACTAGCAGTCTATAGAATTTGAAGATGTAAATGAGACATTAAAGCCAATATGAAAGAGGAAGGAAGATTTACATACATGCCACTAAATTCTTATCTATTTAAAAATCTAGACCTAAACTTTAAATTTTACATATATGTCGCCTTACTTGTGCAAGAAAAAGTTGAATATCACTTTTTAAACAATAATATAGCAGTATTTTTTCGTGATATGAAAGATTTGGATGGTGTAAATGTAAGAAAATAAAGTTTCGGTGTCAGATATGTAAATACATAAGAATTAGGTGTTATGTATGTAAATGCCACAGAGAAAACAATAAGAACATACCATTTCCTGCTGCAAATGCTTATTCTGTTGAAGAGTAGAAGCTAGTTCCTCTCGTAGGTGTTGCATTTCCTGGGCCTGCAAAAGTAAGTATGACTTCAAAATCAGTATGTTCTACAATATCTCATTCAAGTGTCACAATTCTAATATAAAAGGTATCACAATATGATAAGAAATCAGAATAGTAAACAGGATATATCGACTTACACTTACCTTATGAGAGCCTAGAGCAGCATCACTGAATATTTTGATGATTATAACACTTACACTAGCAAACTACATTCAACAACGATAAATTTTTAAACAAGAACACGTATGAATATTAAACTATTACGGATATGATATAGGGGTTGTAAGGTAATGGATTTAAGTCGGCTTTAACTTAAGCTTGTCAGAAGGAAAAAAAAAATGACATTAAATGTAAAAATAGGAATCAAATGTTATGTATGTTAAAACTTTTTTTAAAGTTAAAATGGTGATATTTTTGATGTGATATGAAGGATTTAGATGATATAAATGTAAAATGTAATGCTTAGGTGTTAAATATATAAATAAATAGGAATTGGGTGTTATGTATGTTAATGCCTCTTAAAATTAATATTAAAAATAATAATTGTATGATTATAGTCCTTATTTGGGTAGCACTTTGGCGAAATTACAAACTAATCTGATGAGTAGAATATTATAAATTTTACAAAGAGAAAAACAATAATTTTGATGGTTCATCAGTCCTCCAAAGTAAAAAAATTGAGGGATTAATTAAAGATTCTTCCCTGTAATAAAACAAATCCTAATCAACTTGATTGACCAATTGCCTTTGCTAAACTTGCAATCCTTACTTGATACAAATGGCCAAGTCTTAAAGCTCAGGGTTTATGTCCCTAAATCCTACTTAAATAAGCCTATCATAATCTTAGCTCCTCATCTAATCCCAACCTTTTCACAGAATGCAGAACAAGAAGTCTATAGAATTTGAAGAATTAAATGAGCTCTATTAAAGCCAATATGAAAGAGGAAGTAAGATTTACATACATGCCACTAAGTTCTTATGTATTTAAATATCTAGACCTAAACATTAATTTTTACATATATGTCACTTTACTTGCGCATGAAAAAGTTGAATTTCACTTTTTAGGCAATAATATAGCATTATTTTTTTGTGATATGAAAGATTTGGATGGTGTAAAAGTAAGAAAATAAAATTTCGGTGTCAGTAATGTAAATACATAAGAATTAGGTGTTATGTATGTAAATGCCCCTAAGAGAAAACAATAACAACATACTATTTCCTGCTGCAAAAACTTATTTTGTTGAAGAAAGCTGATTTTTTTGAAGAATAGAAGCTAGTTCTTCTTGTCCACTGCTCATCTTGTACTCCCGATGATCCAAATCATAAGACATTAGCATCAAATTAGGGTGTAGATTTCGAATAAATCGATGAAAGAATAGGGCGGAGATCAAAATAGAACCTTCTTCTAGGTATCGAGTTCGGCCATGAAGGATTGAGAGAGAGAGAGAGAGAGAGAGAAGAGTCATGATCAAAATTTATTGATGGCCTATCAAGTGTCAAAATATACAATTTTATTTGACAATACATTTAAATAATAATTTTATAAATTATGCTTACATACCAATCAAATCTTCCCGTCATGAGCAGAACATAATACTCATATAAACAAAATGATCACGATAATGAATAACTAAATGAACTTAAATTACCCTCCTCTCTCACTTCACATCCCTTTGAATCCCCTCATCTTTATCAATTTAGCAACTTCGCAAATTTACTCCATATAATTTCCCTAACTGTAGAAGCTCAACATATAATTGGGATAAGATGAATGATGATGATAATGATATTTTATTTTTCTGACAAAATTTAATCAATTAGCTATGATTCCGACTAATACAGTTATGAATTCTACATCTACGAGCATTCAACAAAGATGTTCACTTACGGATATTCTGATTAAGAGAAGGCACGCTAGAAAAAAACTGATATTAAAGCAAAGATTGACAACTATGAGGCTCTTCATTCAGCCTATGACCAAAAAATATCAGCCTATGATTCGGCCAGATAGAATAATATTTGACGCATCTATCTTTTGATTGTTCCGGTGCAATCCTTTGATATCCTCCTCGTGCGATCAGTTGAATTTTCCAGACAATCATATGATCATATTCTCGATATACAATATCATTATTAAATGAAACAAATTTAGATTATTTTCTTATATCACTAAAACATACACCACCACCCTTAAATTTCTACAATACTTTAATAATATATTATATATTGTAAATTTTGATCCTACATTTAAATATTTAATAATAATTTTATTATTATATTTTGGTTGTAATTAACATCCCAAATACATGATCCTACATTTAATATTATATTATATTTTTTTACTGTAATTTTATAATTACATAATGTACACAAATGTTACACACACACATATATACATATATATATATATATATACCGTTAGAGATAATATAGAAACTTCGATTTCGACTTAGTTGCTATAATTTATGAATTTTCAAGAACTCATATGGTTGCTAGAATATATTGAAAATTGCAGAAAGAAATGGGGAATCCAAAGCTTGGATTCACCATTGTTCTGTAGATGTTAGATATTTAAGAAATGGAAGGATATATATATATATATATATGTATGTGTACATGTATACTAATGTTACACACACACACACACACACACACACACACAGATATTTGCCGTTTTTATTCAACAGCCATTTAAACATAAGTCAATATTATTCAATATATTTCAGTTATCAATATCCGACACTCATCTTAGTGATCTCCACTCTCACCTTTTATAGAAAGAACGACCGAGTATATTATCAATCATTGCCTCACATCTGACATGCTTGGTTAATCATTGTCCATAGCACAACACTATATGACATTTGTTTGCCATTAACATTTGATGCTGGCCTTTCTAATTGCAGGTAATAGAGCTTTGGTTGATGAGAGTAGGTTGGTAGATGGGCCGGTCAGGAGAGAAAAGTGATTGAGAGCAAGTTAAATCTTATTCTTCTATAATTTATAATACAAGGTTTATGAAAGTGTTATAGGCATAAATATCAAACTTTAGGTGTTAGACATGTAAATACATTTAATTGTTAGGTATTTAGGTAAATTTCCCAAATATGAAACACCTCCTTTAATGTTTTCAATTATATTGTTTCATGATGCTCCAAATTTCTATTAAGAGAATTAGGTTATTTAAACGAACTAGCCTCGATCATTAATTATGTAATTACATTAACTATATAATTAAATAGATTAATTAGTTTCGTCTTCTTTGTGATTATGTATTAGGTCTTAATCGAGCTTCACGTGATTTTGCTGCTTCAATCATTCTCCTCCTATACAAGGAAAATGATCCAGCCAAGACCTTAACCTAACGTTTAGATTTTCCATGCCCAGCTTTATACTTATGATAAAGCTAAATTTTACATTAAGAGCTGCGTCCGAACTTTAATATTCACACGATAAGTATATTTTTGTGGGTCTTTTCTTAAAAAATTACAAATTTATGAGTCAAAATGCGAGGGATGGTTTAAATTTTGTACACGTGACGTTATCTTATTGGAGTCTGGATGCAGAGCTGTGTCCGGACTCCGTATGTAAGATTTTCTCATTGTGGGTGGCGTTGAATATTAGACATTAGAGAGATTTAACTACGTGCCACCCAATTCTTATGTATTCACATGTCAAAACACCTAAACTTTGATATTTTACTCGCCAAAACCTAGGGATGAAGTGACTTGCACATAAATATAGGAATTGGGTGGCACTAAGTAAGAGCCCCATATTAGTAATTTAGTAGCAATTTATATGATCTCGTTATCAATTAATATATATGTACTAGCAATTACCACCTTCGGCTTGAGCTTGGATTGGTTTAATTAATCAACTTTGAGCTCGAGCTCAAGCCTAATTCTATGATCATGAGAAGTGAAAATAATATAAATTTAAGTTAGTTATAGAAAGATGAAATTCACAAGATAAATAATAAGAAATTATTTGATATAAAATATAAAATTTAAACATTTATAATAGCTAAAAGATGAAGCATTGAATTTTAAAAAAATTCTGAGTGTATTTACATTAATAATTTCTTGAAAGAGACGGATCAAGAGCTAAAGAGTCAATTCAGGGTTGGATTCAGCATGACTTGTTAGCTTGTCAAACTCAACTCATGAGCCACTTATTGAGTTGAGCCTGAGTGATACGCAAGTCAGTTTGACTTAGCTACACCCCTAATTTTAATAATATATTTAATGGTTGAAAAAAAAAAAACTTTCTACCACATAAATTTTAAAAAGCAGCAAAAAAGTTGTTTCCCAAATATAATTATAGTGAGGGTCCGAAAAGCAAAATAGATAGAAAACTATACCAAACATACCCTAAGTTATTGACAAAGTGGATCAGCACTATCATTTTTTTGAAAAATCTCTGTTTTGCTTATTGTTCGAAAAATTACAGTGAAATGTTGTGTTTTGATGCTAGAAAGTTAATACTGACTTCGAAAATATATATATAACATTCACTAAAACTTATTAAACAACAGATTTTTATTCAGCAACTTCACACTTAATCCTTCAACTCTTAATTTATATGGTAGATAGCACAAATTAGATGGTCAAATATTTTAATTAAATAGCTTCAGCTGGTCCACTCCATTTCAAGCTTTCAACTCCTCCAAATTAGTTATTAATAATAGAGTCACATGCACTAAGTGAGTTAATAATTGCCAACTTTTGATGGACTCACAGCGCACATCTAAATATCCATATGTTGAAGTCTTAATGAATGCTCTAAAGTCGCGATGAGTACACTATAGTTCGGGGTGGAATCATGTTATGTTGAGGTGGGCAATTGCCCTTGGAGCTTTTTCATATATGTAATTGATGTGCCATCAAGAAATATTTATCTTCGGGCATGAATCTTGAGATAATTCTTAGCAAGAAGTGTTTGCAATTCAAATTGAAGGTCTTATAAAGCCCTAATTTTAATAAGCTTAAAGTCGAATTAACTGTTTCGACAAGACGAACCTAATGCCACCAAAATTAGTATGATCCAAATCCAATCATGTCTTTAAATCACCTTTAGAGATTTTGGACATCATTTGAATCATCAAATGAACTCCAAATTTAAATATTTATATTCAAATCAAGTGTTTCAACGAAAGGATCTAACGAGTCTATGATTACGGGTGATCAATATTAGTCTTCTGACTAAATGGTTGGACAAGTTATTGTCAAAAGACAAAAAAAAACTCATATCATTGAAATTACAGATATACCCTTTCTTCAATTGAGGCGGGAGGAGAAGAAAGAATTTCAAAGGTTGTTCTGACTTGGAAACATGATGATAACTTTTTTTCTTCATAGTCGCCGACCACCATCAATCGTCGTCGTCAATCACTGTCTATTGCCCTTGCTCGCCACCTTCGGCAATCCTTACTTGCGAACGTTGTATTTCACATACGGTTGTAACATAAAACATCGTATTGAATGCATGGTGATAATTTTTGGCCCCTGTAGCCACATAATTCTGCTTGTTGGTAGTTGTTAGCCACCGCCAACCGTCCAATGTAACCAACGACAATGACTTTTACTTGCCAATATTGCATCCAAAATATGATCTCAATGTATAACGTTGTATTTAAGAATTAAAGATAACTTCCAGTTTTCATAACAATTGACCTACATCACTACTTATTTTCGGTCATTAGCGAGTGACGAACACTGCTTACGACCTTCATAGTCAAAATTAGGTGATTGTTCCCAACACCTGCGTTCTTGTGTATGTTGTATACGAAAAAGTGTTGTATTCGAGAACCATGTTCTTCCAATCGTGAGAAAAAAAGATATACCTTTATACTTGGACGTTTATAGTGAATTATTTTCATTATGCTAGTTCTCGTGATGCTTTTCATCTTTGGGTTTTACCATACAACCGTAAGAAAATTTCATAATTTTACCCATTGGATATTTTATCTCTTCAATAGTTGGAAAAAAATGTACATTTCATTTTGTCCACCAATAAAATCAAAATAAAAATAAATAAATAAAATTTCTATCCATATCATATAATTCATGTGTTCTTACACATATAACGTAAGAAATTTGATATTTATGCATATGTCACTTTAGTGTCATAATCACATGAAGATGCTAAGGATTTAGTTATTATGTAAATAAATATTAATGCTTAGGTATTAGATATGTAAATATTTAAGATTTGTGTGGCATGTAAATCATCCATAAATATATCAAATTATGTGGAACGACTGCAACATTGTATCACACGGCTGACATTACTGCACTTTGCAGTTAACCCCTTTATAGAGAATTTGCACCGAAGGAATTACAATTTTATAACAAATTAATTTGCTAAAATATTAGAACAAGTTATTACAAATAAATTTGCTAAAATATTAGAACAAGTTATTCAAACATTCCACTAGCATTAATTTAAAAAAAAAAGGGCATTTACAAATATACCACCCAATTCACACGTAATTACATATCTCAAAACCTAAATTTTACTTTTTACATTTATACCACCCAAATCAAAAATAGCATCAGTCAACCTAAAAAGCGAAATGCTCATTTTCATGAATAGGTAACGTGGATCTTAGCTGATTATGTATGTGTATATATATAT